AGTTCGCTTTGGTCTATCCCCATTTTAAGGAATGCGGTCCAGTATAAGATACTTGAATACGCCCCCATGTCCACCATGATTCGATGGACTGGGATTCGGAAAATGGGGGCTGTGATTACGAGCGCATCTGAGTGTGGATTATCAAACGGGAGAGAATCTTCATCCGAAAACATTATTAGATTTGTGGGCATGGGGATGTGTCGGTTGACCTCCGCTCGGCTGACTTGGTGTCCTGTGCTGTATGCTTTTCGGACGTATGCCTTGACCTGTCTTCTTGACACGCTCGAACTTTCCCGGCTCGTATTGACCCTTGTGGGCGGTCCGCTTCTTCGGATTGGGATGTGAACCGAGTGCTCCTCGTATCGTCTGGACACTGTCCTTTTCCTTCTCCCGGATGCGCTCGTCTCGCCTCGTTGCTCCTGACTGATCGTCAAGATTTCATTGTGGTGTTCGTTCGCTCTCCGGGGATTCAGTCCGAAATCGGGCTCGTCTCCTGGGTTCATTCGTTCATCGTTTCTTGGCCTCCGGTTGCCTGCATCCATCCTAGTGAACCTCCTTACCTGCGGATCATCAATTAGTATCAACAAGGCAGATATTAAGTTCCGACACTGGTCGGTATTGTGGCCATGCGCTTTGTGGTAAGCACAATATCGGCTTTTGTCTAGATTTTCTTCATCGGCCCTGATTGGTTTGGGGTCTGGGATGATCCCCTTGTTCTTCAACTCTTCATACACTACGGCCGCGCCGGCCGAATACACCCCCTGGTAGCTGTTCGTGAGTTCCTCGTGATGTTTCCTCTGCATGGCTCGGAATTGGGAGCTTCTTCCGTCCTTCACAAACTCCTTGTTCGGTCGGGACTCCTTTGCTTTGGCAATTTGCTCGTTCAGGGCTGGGAACGACGGGACGGACATGTTTTCTTCTGCCATGATATGTTCTTGAGCTTTCATAAAAAATTCGTGATACGTCTGAGGTTTGTTTTGGCAGAGGGTCCATTTGAACATCGAGTTTGTTCTCAGTCCTGAATATGCCGAAACGAGCAGGGTCTCCTGATGGCACGGTTCCATGTTTTGTACCCGTTCATTGAAACGAGTGATGTAATTCTTCAAACTCTCGTCTGCTCCCTGGATAACGTGAGTGATCGATTCTTTGGGAATTCGGCATGCCTGGGATCCGATGAAGTGGGTTCGGAACATGGACTTTAATTGTGCCCACCTAGCGACTGAATGTGGGGCGAGCGAATGGTACCATCTTTGTGCTTTTTCTCCCAGAGTTAATGAGAACATCCGGCAGCGGAGGGCGTCCGGTGCTCCGTGCAGGTCCATCCATGACGTGTATAATCCTAGGTGGGTGTCCGGGTCAGATGTTTCGTCATAAAATCCGATCTGCGGGATCTTGATCTTCTCGGGCAGCTGTTCCTGCAAAATATCAAATGTTAGGGGTGATTCGGGTTCGGCTGGACTGGATTCCGTTCGTGCCCTTGAGGTTGTCGTGGCTCGTTTGAGAGGGACTTCCGTCAGATCCTGTCCGGTGGAAACTAGTCGTTTTTGGGCCGAACGCCGGGCTTCGAGTTCGGCTATTCTTCTTTGGAGGCTCTTTATTTCGTCTTCTTCGGCTTGAGTCGTTCGCCTTCTGGTCAATGTTCTCCTCAAGTCGTCGTCGGCCACGTTGTTTCCCAGCCGTCTGAAAACCGACCGGGTGGTGTTTCGGGTTTGAGTATCCGTGACCGAGCGACTTTCGTCCGTCTGTTCATATTTCGTCCGGGTGGTGGGTTTTTCCTTCGTGCTCCCGGGCGATCGGGTGGTTTCTTCGCGAACGTTTGTTTTCTTGCCTTTGAGGGTGTTGGTAAGGTCTTTTTTGGCTGGGGTTTTGGGTGCTTGAGACGTAGAGGGCCGGATCTGTGTTATCAGGTTTGATATTCCCT